TGAATTTGAATCGATTCGATCCAACTTTTGGCATTGCGTATTATATGGCTAAATCTATGCCCATATTGAATTTCATGCAATTCAGTTCATAACTAACGGAGATGTAAAACCGATCGAACATTTCTAAACAAAGTTATCGTTCACACGGACAGATAGATGGACAGACAGACAAAGGAACAGACGGAGAGACCAACCGGCAGGCGACAGATAGAAATGCAAAATTATAAACGATCTCTAGGATCGTTAATAAACGGCAAAAGTGTAAAATTATGGAACATGTAAAAAACGGTTTTTTTGTTTTTTTACAATAACTTTTTTTGTAAGCGGTACAGAAAAAATTCCTTCCTTGGTACAAGACTCGACACCATAACGAACCAAATAGCGAAAAAAGTAGAACAATAGCTCTAAAGATAAAAAACTAGTAGCGTCGCAAAGTTAGCGGACGGACGGACGGACGGACGGACGGACGGACGGACAAAGTGGCCACAATAGCGCATTTTTTTTTTATTTTTGTGGAAATGCGCTAAAAAGACATAAATGATTCGATTACTTATGTATGTATCTCAATTAAGAAGCATCGAGCACAACATTTCTAGTATATTTCCAAATATACTTAGCGAGATACTTAGCAATTTTACGATATCAAGTACCAAGTAGGAGTATTATACCTCTTAAAAATTTAAACATTTCAAAAACCATACGCGCACATAATTTCTACTAAACGGTAAAAAAAATAGCACAAAATGAGCAAAAAATTTAGAAATAATAAAGCTTTTAATTTAACAACATCGAGTATAATCGTGAAGTTGGAGTCCCATCCTAAAAATTTGGTAACTAACAAACCATCTGAGCACAACATTTCTACTATACGGCAAAAAATAGCACAAAATGAGCACAAAATTTAGGTATATTAAAATTTCAAATTTAACAACATCGAGTATAGTCGTGAAGTTAGAGTCCCATCCTAAAAATTTGAATAACTCAAAAACCATAAGAGCACAAAATTTGGGGTATACGGCAATAAATAGCACAAAATTAGCACAAAACTTAAATTGAATATGTCGATGTCGATACTCCAACTTCACGGACCTCAGAGAAACACTACAACCTACGAAAACCTCTACGTCGCCAAAACTTACTATTTCAGTTCAACAGCCTTATCGAAGGTATACAGGGTGATTCCTATAGTACCTGCCACCGTTTGGGAGCGTGTAGGTGGTGCGTAGGGGAGTATTTTGATATAGGACACTTGGGGTCGGAAATCTAAAATAAGGGTGCCAGAGCCAAATTTACCTTCTGGAATTTCGCGCCTGTAGGTAGGCAACCCAACCGGCCGGCGGTGCACACGGAGCGATCTCAGGCGGCGATGTGTGGCTGACACTTGATCAGAATTTTGTTTAAACCCACGAAATCCCGTCTGCAACGACGCGTATCAAGTGAATAAACACTATGGCAATAGTATAATAATAGTTGGCTAGATGTAGGAAGTGCATTGAGAACAACGGTGGCCACGTTGAACACTTGTAAACGTTATTGCTTTTGACTGTCGTTTTCCCTCCTTCCCTCCCATGTCGCTTCCTCGCGCTAACTCGCTCTGCATCGCTCCGCGCGAAACGTCGGTCGGTTGGGTTGCCTACATACAGGCGTGAAATTCCAGAAGATAAATTTGGTTCTGGCGCCCTTATTTTAGATTTCCGACCCCAAGTGTCCTATATCAAAATACTCCCCTAGGCACCCCCTATACGCTCCCAAACGGTGGCAGGTACTATAGGAATCACCCTGTATGTGGGCATAATGTACAATGCAATATGCAAACTGATATACCATCTCGCACCCGTCGGTTTCTTTAGCGACTTTCGAATTACAGGCGTCGAACATCTCGTTCGATACCTTGGCGGCATATTGAACGAACTCAGTTTGATTAAGTGTGCCGTCCTTATTAACAAACTTGAAACCCTTGAAGATGCACTCAAGATAGCATTTAAAGTTTCGCCTTGAACTCATCTGAAAGTGTACGAAGTAATTTTCGACTTCCTCTTGAAGTACACCCGACGATTCGAAACACTCCGGGTGATCCTCATCGGAACGCCTCCACCATTCGGCAAATATATCCTCGGTGCTTTTCTGAAATTAAGAAAAAAAATCAGTTCGGCTCAACATAGGAACGGACTCCCACCTTGGAGTCAAAAGCGAGTATCGTTGATAAAGCACAAGTCGCCATCAGCAATGTTTTGAAGATCATCTCCGCTATTTTAAGAGTACCGAACAAGTTTTTTTTAGTACAAGGTATCTGACTTGAGTTAACGCAAATAAGTAGGCACAACGGGTCCACTCCCACTCCCATGTATCATATTCCCGATTAGCATAATGTCAAAGATAAAAGTCATGTATAATGCAAATTGCAATTCTAAAAAAAATGTTGTATTGTTCCCACAGTTAGTGCAAGTTTAGTGAGACCAAAGTACCACTCTTTACGTCTGAACTAGGAATTTAAATTCATCATTTGGAGATTTATATAGCACCTACAATTTGTAACGTGCACAAATGGAGACACGGAACTAATGCTCTAAGTCCCTAAGTCTAATAAGGTTATTTAAAAATATGTGCGGAATTACACTCTAATTGACGTAAAGTGAAACACAGATATAGGATAATTTTATATATTAATTAATTTATTTATTTTTACCTTAACCAAACACAAAAGAGCTCGAGTCTTTCACACTGTTCTAAAACCAGGGAGTTATGATGTGAAGAACCTAGGACGCCAGCTTCAGGACACGGAATCCGACATTTAGTAAAGCCGAGATTCCCAATTGTGATATATGACAGCGTGGCGTGAGCCACCTCCGAAGCTACGACTGGACCAGATGTCCTTGGTCATGCCCCAATGTAATATGTATCGTGTCAAGTAGTCCATTCATATATTCATCCATAATTATATAGAGCATCTCAAAATGGCAGTATTATTAAACCACTCTTACTCAAACCACATACTTAACATGGTGTCAGGTGTAAAATAGTAGTAAAAGTTATAACACGTTTCTTTACTAAGGTGAACATGGAAAATTTCAAGCCCCCATCATCATTGAATCTAAGCGAAGACGTCGCAGAGAACTGGAAGTTATTTAAACAACGATTCCAAATATTTTTGGAGGCAACCGAATATACTAAAAAATCGGGGTCAGTTCAAGTGGCTATGTTATTAAACACGATCGGTGACGATGGGCTGCAGCTGTTCAATACATTTAATCTCTCGAATGAAGACAGAAAAGATATTGGGAAAGTGTTACAATGCTTCGAAGACCACTGCATACCGAGAAAGAATCAGGTCTTTAACAGATACAAATTCTTTAACCGCAACCAGGCGGAGGGTGAGTCATTCGATAACTTTCTTACAGATTTAAAGAAAATAGCAAAAATATGTGAGTTTGAAAAACAAGAAGAGAGCCTGGTGCGGGATAAAATAATACTGGGCATTAGAGATAGAGGACTACAGGAAGCACTGTTGAGAGAAGCTGACATAAATCTGGAGAAGGCTAGCAACTTGTGCCGAGCAGCTGAAGTCAGCAAACAACAGGTGAAATTAATGCGTGAAGGTAAAGGAAATGAACTAAATATTAATAAATTAAAAATTGGACATAGTAAAAAAGGGACCAATAGCGGTAGTTCTGAAAATGGTCATAATGATAACTATCAGTGTAAAAAATGTGGTAAGACTCATGCAATTCGTGCTTGTCCTGCCTATGGGCTTAAATGTAACCAGTGTGGTCGGTTTAACCATTTTAAAGTAGGGTGTAAACAGGCTAGGGCGACACAAGTCGGGCGATGGAGAAAAGCTGACAAAAAAGGTGTCAACGAATTAGATTTTAATAATGAACGAGATGAACCTGAACAGGCATGGTTTACAAACGAATTGACAGTGCGAAGTATAAAATCAGGTGCTTTAAGTAAAAGTTGGACACATGCGATAATGTTAGACAATCGGTTATCGGTGGACTTTAAAATTGATACAGGAGCAGACATTAATGTTCTTCCGTATAATTATTATAAGACTTATTTTAGCAGGTTTAGCCTAAAGGAGACTAATTCTGTGTTAATAGCATATGGTGGTACTAAAATTGAAACTTTCGGTATTGTTAAAATTCCGTGTAAAGTAAGTGATTCGGTCGAGACTTCGATTTCATTTGTGGTTGCTAAAGTTAATGCAAAGCCAATACTAGGGTTATCAACTGCTGTTGACATGAACTTAGTAAAACGGGTTAACAATGTGTCAAATAGCTTGGATAATGACAATATTTTTACTAAATATAAAAATGTATTTTTAGGTTTGGGTAAGCTGCCTTTTAATTACAAAATTTGCCTCTCGGAGAATGCAGTTCCTACTGTAAAGCCAGCTCGAAGATATGCCTCCTGCATAAAGGAAAAACTGCAAGCAGCGTTAAAAACATTAGAAGACCAGACCATCATATCCAAGGTGACGCGACCAACTGACTGGGTGAATGATATAATAATCGTGGAGAAGAAAAATGGGTCCATACGAATATGCCTCAACCCATCGCAGTTAAATAAGGTTATCAAGAGAGAACATCATGTAATACCGACAATGGAAGAGCTTCGTACAAACTTAGCTGGTAAAAAAGTCTTTAGTGTATTAGATATGAAGGATGGGTTTCATCAAATACCTCTTGATGATGAATCATCTTACCTATGTACCTTTGCAACACCGTTTGGTCGTTACAAATATAACAGATTACCTTTTGGTTTAAGTTCAAGCCCTGAAATATTTCAAAGGGAATTAGAACGTATTTTTGGTGATTTGGAAGGTGTACAGGTATACTTCGATGATCTCATAATAGCAGCAGAGGACGAGGTAACTCATGACAAAATCTTTAGTAAAGTAATGGATAAAGCGAGTCAATATAATGTAAAATTTAACTACTCTAAGATTCAGTATAAAGTTGGGAAAGTTATGTACTTAGGTTTAATATTTAATGAACAGGGTGTTCGTCCTGATAGCAAACAGTTAGAAGCTATTGCTAAGATGCCTAATCCAGTTAATAAAAAAGAGCTTCAGAGATTTTTAGGATTAGTCAATTATTTCCACTCTTTTATACCAAAATTATCTGAATTAACGAATTCATTAAGGTTATTGTTAAGAACTAACCAAGATTGGCAGTGGACCAACAGGCAACAAACAGCAGTAGATCAAATAAAATTAAAATTAATTAATATCACGACTTTAAAGCATTTTAATCCAAAAGAAAATATAGTAATTCAAACTGATGCGAGTAATCATGGAATTGGTTGTGCCTTGTTGCAAAACAAAAGACCAGTCGCATTCGCGTCTAGATCCTTAAATAATAGTGAAAAGAATTATTCTGTTCTAGAGAAAGAGTTGCTTGCAATTGTGTTCGCATTAAATCGATTTCATCAACTGGTGTATGGTCACAATGTATTAATTGAAACTGATCATAAACCGTTGATTAGCATATTCAGTAAATGTATTCATAAAAGTACCAATCGTATTCAGAGATTGAAATTAAAAGTACTTAAGTATCAATTTACTGTAAAATACTTGCCAGGTGCACAAATGGTGTTGGCAGATCATCTTTCACGATCATTCATAACAGAAAATGTTAATGATGATCCTGATATGAGTGACATTGTTCATAGTTTGACTTTAAGCGAATTTCTATCCATTCCGGATAAAAATTTAATGAAAATTGCAGAAGAGACAAAACGTGATTTGACTCTCACGCAAGTTATTGAGAATATTAACCAAAATTGGAGTAAATTTAACAAAAAGATATCTAGTAATAGTTTGTTAAGATTTTACAAAATCCGTGAAGAATTGTATGTTAATGCCGATATCTTAATGTGTGATCAAAAAATAGTTGTACCAATTAGTTTGCAAAATTACTTATTATCACTTGCTCATGGAAAAGCTCACTTAGGTATAGTAAAGTGTAAGCAGCGGCTTAGAAAAACGTATTATTGGCCTTCAATAAGTCAAGACATAGAGCATTTTGTTAAAAAATGTCGTCTGTGCGAACATTATCAAAAATCGTGTAACAATGAACCTTTGCTGCAACATGAAATTCCAAAGTATCCTTTTCATAAAATTGGAATTGACATAGCAGAATATGCAAAAAGGAATTATTTAATAGTAGTTGACTATTTATCAAAATGGTTAGAAATACTACCGTTAAATAACAAAACTATTACGGAAATTGTAAGCAGGCTTTTTCCTGTGTTCGCAACACATGGAATGCCGAAACAAATCATTTGTGACAATGTTCCATTTAACAGTAGTCAATTTAGAACATTTTGTAATACACATAATATACAGCTCCAGTTCTCCAGTCTATACTATGCTAAAAGTAATGGTTTGGCAGAAAGGGGAGTAGGTATTGCTAAATTGATAATTAAAAAATGTAATAATGTCAATGAAATTAACGAAGCACTGTTAGATTATAGAGCAACACCTGTGGCGGGGGTAGATTATAGTCCATCACAAATTCTGATGAGTAGACTATTAAATACTAACTTACCGATTAAACAAGAACTGTTAAAACCAAAGGTGGTGTACGAAGATGCTTACAGTAAGTTGAGCGATAGAAATGTACAAATTAAATTGAATTATGATAAAAAGGCAAGTGAACGGCCGCTATTTCAAAAGGATCAAAATGTTGCTTTACAAAATCCTTTAACCAAGTTATGGGAGCCTGCAAAAATAATTACTCCTACAACCAATCCAAGATCGTACATGGTCCAAAATCAGCACAACAAACTTGTTATTAGAAATTCAAAGCACATTCGTACTTCGCCCAATGCACTTATGTACATGTCAGACAATGTAAATGAAAATGTAGTTAGTGACGATGATGTAAATCCAGATCTGATCTCGGAAAGTGGTAATGACATCAAAAGTCTTGAAATAAATAACGAGCCTCAACAAAATGTGACCCGATCTGGAAGACACATTCAGAAACCTTCTTATCTTAATGAATTTGTAAAGTAGTCTTAACTCAATAGGAAGGTGTGATATATGACAGCGTGGCGTGAGCCACCTCCGAAGCTACGACTGGACCAGATGTCCTTGGTCATGCCCCAATGTAATATGTATCGTGTCAAGTAGTCCATTCATATATTCATCCATAATTATATAGAGCATCTCAAAATGGCATTATTATTAAACCACTCTTACTCAAACCACATACTTAACACCAATTAGAATCTGAAAGCGTAAAGAATTCGAGAGAATGTGTATAGGAACCGTCAAATTGGTGTGAAGAAGCCATAAAGGGAGATATCAATAAATATCAAGTTAATAATTGATTGCAATCTTGACCGATGAACTGATTTTACGTTATTTTACAAAAGGGTATAACCAAATTGTACCGTACAAGGGGGCTTCGATAACAAAGAATTTGATTGTAAGCGGACTGTAATTATGAATTACTTCCAAGGCCTTGTTTATGCTGGGAATGAAAGAATATAGACACATAAATAAACGTGTTTATTATCAAAAAATACAAAGTAAATGAATTTCTATTGAATATGGTTGACGTAGGCACGACGGCTAGTGTTGTTTCGAACGAAGGCGATGTTGCAATGGCGAAGATTGGTCTATTCTACGAAGTTGTCGATTTTGTTACAACGAAATCTTCTAATTGATGTGCGGTGCTTTGACGTTCTGCTTGTTAATAACGATGTTGCGAACTGCACGGCGACATCTTGACCCGTTGGGGATCGATCGAGATCTATATGCGAACGACGAAGGCTAATCGGCCATTGGTTAACGGCGACTTCTCAACGTAGTTGAGTCGATGGCTTCTAAGCGAAGAATCGGACGAATTCTGCGCGACGAGTACACATATTGCGCTTCTGCGGCTCATGCGCGCACACGTAACAAATAGGAATATATACAGGCAAGGCAAAACGGTTATGTACAGGGTATTTTCATTAAAGGAAAAACGAAAGGATATTTTATTCTAGTTTGGGGACGCAACACAAATCTTGTACGTATCTAACATTCACTTTTGTTAACATAAACTATCGTTTTAAAAATGGATTCGTTTTCGGACAATGTGAAGTATCCAATAGGTTACGGCGTGGTTCATCTTCTTTCACTGATTTCCTGCAGAAATTCGTATAAGGAATATAAAGAAGTGAGCTCAGTTCTCGGATCACAAAACCTGCAAACAAAAGAAAACCCCCCAAGCCGCAGAACTCCAAACTCGTACGTTGACAGAATATAGGTAAAGCGTCTCCGCACTTAAACTGGCCAATTAAAATTAAATTGTGAACTAACACTTCAACCCTACAATTAAAACTCTAAAAGAAAATCAAAGGTAACCCCTCTTTCTGGATAAACTAAATAAGAGGGCTAATTTAATATAGATGAATGCAACAATCGTCGATGGAAATTGTAATGTGACAAATATCAGCCGAAATCGAAAGAAAAGGTACACTTCAATTAAATGAAATGCAATGGACGTACTTACGATAAAGAAGAAAATCGCAATTATATCCTTTTCTATTGAAGTCTTTAGACGAATCCGTTTTCTAATTATTCCAGAATCCCCAATTCAATGAAACCAATTGCCAAATATTAATAAAATATGGATGATCGCAATTAAAATTCCATGCGTTCTCAACTAACGCCTTAGCTATTGGTTAATGAAGTGTCACCCAATACGAGGATCTTTTAACAAAATATACCGTGAACAATAATATTGCTTCTAGTGGAGTATACTCGTATAAACCGTTACACAACTTGGGGAATTGTGGTAACCATCAAAATGATTAGTCCAGTAAGAATGGACCCAAAAATGGCAAATAGGGGAACTAAATCATATATTACCAATTCCTTCGGAAATGTGTAGCAAGTGGTCCCCTGATCAACATATAATAAAGTCCCCCCGACTATCGAGTGTGCTAGAGGGGTGAGGAGAGAGACCGTGGGATTTGATGTTCGCATTTTATAGTTTTAAGCAATGCTTATGTTTTGTATGGGGTATGAAGTTACTGGTTAGTGGTTAGTCGAACAGAAAAGAAGACAATGGGTGTCGCATCAAGTGACGGTTGTCCCGTACTCGACTGCAATCGGTAGATTCAGGAAAAGTCGCGGATATTGTCGATACGGTACTTACTTAACAGTGCGCAAGGGTTTTATTAATTCGAATCTAAATTTATTGCACATCGCCCGTGATGGACCTATACAACATAATCAATATTCCTGTACATTAGCATGAAGCAGGAAATAATGCCGACCGTTTTCGTATATGTGGCAGATGAACTTGAGATAAAAGCGAATTTAAGTCAGGGGCATGATAAACAATTGCATTTGAAAATTATTAATCTGATTGCAGCGTCAGTGCAATTAAATTCGAATCAAAAATGGATTACCATACATTTTACGTGACGTTCAGCGGTCGAGTCATTCCAAAGATGCTGTTGCTCCTCGCACTATTCGTCCACGTGAACGCGTTTGTAAGGGTAACTACCTCCAAAACCGCCACTAATTAGACTTCTTTAAGCAAAATAGGTACGATGTTATTCATGAACGTATGGAAGCCGAATATTACGATCCTACTCTCTCGAACCTTTCCTGCATCAACTACAAATATAACCGAACAACGCGTGCGTTTATCTTGGCTGTAACGTTTAAGAATGATTTAACTGAAAGAGATACCGTAAGATCTGGCCCACCCTTCGTGCTGTAGCGAATAATTTTTAGTTTTTGATAATGGGATACAAATGGCTGAGTAACCGATATCGCCTGGACATTTTGCAATTCAATCTAACAGTCAAAAATGCTTTTCGCTTCCGCTACTTTGATTTAGATCGGCTGATGCACTCCTGTACGACACCTCCTGCCGAATTGCCTCTCATTAAAGGGGTAACTAATTGGATACGCCATTACATTATTCTTGTAACAGTTGATGTAGGTGACATATACAATAAGGGATTGGGTACCTGACAGTACTAAGTTTCCTCCGGGAATTCCAGAAGGAAGGTGGAAAATAGCGGCGCGACTAGTTACGGCTTCCGGGAAACATATCCTATCTATCAACTGGTATGGAGCCGTGAAATACAAGCTTAGAATGGAATCCAAGTAATGCGAACACATAACAGGCATTGCAACGATTGCCGACACTTTATAGATACAAGTAGAAACATGTAACTCAACCTTAATGAACTTGCTTTTAAACAGCCGTTACTGTTAGCGATCCGAAAAAAAAACTTCTTTACCACAATGAGCTTTAATGTGAGTTTATTTAATCCCCTTTCAATTTGAAGAGCGCTTCTGCAGCTCAAAAATGTCCCTTTGCGTAAATTTTACCACTCGTAAATGTTATCGCTTTTTTATTTCCAGACATACTTTTGTTCACGTTCGCTATAAAGCGGTATAAGTATGTGTAAATTTTCCTGTGTAGAATAAAATATAAATTCAAGAAATACTTTTGAAATTCTAAAGCGACCACCCGTGACAGAAATATATTACTTAAGTTTACGTATTCAGTGCGCAACACAGTAGTGATTTGTACTGCCTGTGACGTCATTTGACCTAATCGAATGCCGCGCTAACAGTGGTAACGATGCGGCGCACCAATAACCAATGTGTACACATATTAAGCGAACGAATAGGTATCGTATGCGAATAGGTCACGGGACGCCATACGCGAACCGTAATTATTTTTCCAAGTGCAACTTTAAAGTCTTATAACTTTACGATTTGTGGCGGTATTTTTATGATTCTTTTACATTTTTGTTTCATTTTTCTTAAATTTTCATAATTAGTTTACAGCAAAAAAACTGGAAAGTTCTCCATTGACGTAAAGTGAAATACAAACATAGGAAGTGCAAATAGTATTGAATGGCTCATGTCAAAGGTGATTCCACCCAGACATTACAGTTAGTGGTGGTTTTGGAAGTAGTTACCCTTACAAACGCGTTTACGTCGAGGAGTAGTGCGAGTAGGAACAGCATTTTTGGAAATGGCTCAATCGCTGAACGTCATGTGAAATTCATTTTTGATTTAGTTTTAATTGCCCCTCTGCTACCATTACTTTCGGAAGAGCCACCAAACCAAAATTTCCTATTGCAATTTTGTTTCCCTTGTTGGTCTGATGTCCTGGGACCCAGCATAACATGACGGAAAACGCTGTTTTAATTGTGATCAAAAGGACCACAGTAAAGAAAAGTGCATCAACCCGAAGAGGGGTTATATGTGCGAGGAGAACGGGCACGCACCGAAGGCAATGGAAGAAAGATATTAGGATTATGCAGCTCTTACAGTAACCGAAGAATGCTGTAGAGAACACTCCTTGCCCAATAACCCGACAAACACGGAGCTAGTACCTTCAGATGAACACGAAAGGTAGATGGTCCTCGAAGTCACAACCCACTCACAGGTTTGCCCCTGATGGTAATTCTTTTGTCGGTATCATTTTGCACGCAATTTTTTCCACTTGGGCAAATAAATATGATTAAAAAAAAACCAACTGTCTAAAAATGGACCACAAGGTCCCCTTGAATGAACTTAAAACTTTTTCTAATTCGGAGGTACGTTATTTATTTGCTTTGGTTTACCGGATTTACCGAATTTTTTCCAAATTGCGCTCACGTTGCAACGTTGCATAAATAACTTAATACGACCTATTTCCAGCGTGTAATTCAACACCAAACCCAGACAATGGGGCGACGGATACAATTTAGAATAAATACTTCATTGACGAACGTGTGAGAAGGGGGCATTTAAGGTCTGAAAGAGGAATCCGAATCAAACTAGATCCCAATGATGCCTGTCTGTCGGTCTGTACTCATTTCCGACTAAACGCCTGAACCGATTGTAACCAAATTTGGTACACATACTCTTGGATATAAAAGGAAGAGCTCGTTTTTGCGCAACAAAGTAACAAACAACTATCCATTTTTGACGTTTTGACTATTGCATCGAAGAAATTGGTACATTTTTCGCTATAAAAAGCATTGCACGTCATCAACAGAAGAAAATAACGTGCCAAGTTAAATCAAGATCAAGAGCGGAATAAGTTGGCTGATTTGGAATTTTTTTCCAACATTGTCAAACGTTTTCGTTGACATTTGACACCGCAGAATAAGACCTTCACAGAACAGAAACATAAATGGCGCTAAATTGTCACTTATTACAGCGTTTCCCGTGGTTGTACGGAGAACTATTTATCGCAGACTCAAATATTTTTTTGCAAAACCTGTAATTTTGGTCGTTACAAGAAATATTGTTATTTGTTACTCAGTTGTAAACGTTGATTAACAAGACAAAACGCAAACGGGTAAACGTCATGTTTAAACGCTACTGACTTGTAAAACTGACAGCTGTAAAAATTTTACAAGTTAGTAATCTAGTCATTTCATTGGCCAGAATTAATGCGAAGTCTCTGTTACATGGATAACATGATATTTTAGACATTTCTTCGAGATCAATTTAAGAACTAATTATTTACGTTTTCTATTGTTTACAAATGAGTAACAAATAAAATATTGTACATTATATGCCAGGTAATAGTTTTTACTGCCTCTAGGAGATGACAGGCTCGCCTTTCTCCTATCGCCAGTAAAAACTCACTTACCTGGCTAATAATGTAATAGTATTTTACATTATTAGCCAGGTAAGTGAGTTTTTACTCTAGGAGATGACAGGCTCCCCTAACGGCTCGACAGTCACCTTCTCCTATCGCCAGTAAAAACTATTACCTGGCGTATAATGTACAATATTTTATTTGTTACTCATTTGTAAACGTAAATAATTAGTTCTTAAATTGATCTTGAAGAAATGTCTAAAATATCATGTGATCCATGTAACAGAGTCTTCGCATTAATTCTGGCCAATGAAATTACTAGATTACTAACTTGTAAAATTTTTACAAGTCTGCTGTCAGTTTTACAAGTCTGCTGTCAGTTTTACAAGTCAGTAGCGTTTAAACATGACGTTTACCCGTTTGCGTTTTGTCTTGTTAATCAACGTTTACAACTGAGTAACAAATAAAATACTATTACCGTCGATTTTATACGTACACATGGTTTTACACATGTCAATTTTGACTTTTGAAAGATTTAAAATATGAACAAGTTATGTGACCGTAAAAAGTGTTGTGCGGCGGATTGTAACGATTAAATATCAAAAAGGCATCGTTTCCCATATTTTGAAACGGTTTGTTTTGTGCTTGAAACGCGAAGAGGGTTGAAATGTGTTGTTATTTCTCTCCTATTTATGCAAGGTATGGAATTTATAAATTACCAACGTAGTCCAGTCAATAGAGACCTAAATAGGAGAGTTTAGTCAAAAATTTGGTGTCCAAGAGGTTATGACTGATTCTTATGTATTTTTTGGCGTAGATTCCGAATTTTTAATCTCCCACCAACCTTAGGGGGTGGGAACCCCCCCAAAAATGCAAAAAAACCCAAAATTTCGGCCCAAAATTCAGAATTTTGGAAAAATCTCGCTAAATTTAGATTTTTGGCCCAAAGTACCTTAGTTCAAAATTAAAGTACACAAAATTTGCAGGAAAAGTGATATATACACTTTTGGTCTAGGACCAACGGGGGCGGAGATAAGAGGGGGGTCAAAAAAGGGTACTTTGTTGGAAAACGTGAAAAAAACGGAATTTCTCTGAATAACTCGCTAAATGTTGGTTTTAGAGAAAAAACTCAAAGGACCAAAATGAAAGTAGACGAAAAATACTTCGGAAAGTGCACGTGTGCGGAGCCGATGAAGGGGGGGAGGAGGGGGAGGGGGCGAGCGCAAAACCTCTCTTCCTGGCGCCGCGCGACGGCACTGGCATAAGGCGCTATACGCGCAGTTTCGGGTATCTCTGGCGGCCTCGGTCCCGGTCATAACGGATGCTTCTTTGTCCTTATTTTAGAAAGGGGCCTCTGGCTTCCCCCTCCCTCTTGTTGGTCGTTTGTATGCTTTTTGTGTCCTCTGGAAACCAGTTCAAGATCCTTCTTCAGTGCGTCTGTGTTGTCGCGTCGTGCGCATCACGCTATATTGCTCCGTGCTTATTTACTATTTTTCGCCTGAGCCAGTAGAGGTTGAGTTTTTATTTAAAGATGGCCTAAAAAAGTGCGAAAGTAACGTTTCTTGCTGTCCGCCATGCAAATCAGAATTTCAGACAAATACTACAATCTCCCCCAAAAATTGTAACTCGAGCACTAAATAAACAAGTATAAATTGTGCACAACTCCTGTGCAGATAAAGCGCATTTTTTTAACCGAAATAGCTTTTGTATGGACATCACCAATGGATATATTTCTTGCAGACGTTTCAATCGCCCTTTGATAGTACCCTCTTCCGACAATCCGTTCTTAAGGTATAAGGTAATATACCCGATCACGATAAGAGGTCGAGGAGGAGGGCTATGGTTGGTAGAAATTAATTCCTTGCGTTGAGACCTTTCATTAGAGTACCATGAAGGTTAAAACTAGTTCCACGCTCTCCCCTCGAGAGTATATGCAAGCGAACAAACTCAAAACGCACAGGCGCGCGAGCACGATATTACAGAAAATTTCGGTAAAAACAACAAACTTTTAACCGAAAAATAGTAAATAAGCAGGGAGCAATATAGCGTGATGCGCACGACGCGACAACACAGACGCACTGAAGAGGGATCTTGAACTGGTTTCCAGAGGACACAAAAAGCATACAAACGACCAACAAGAGGGAGGGGGAAGCCAGAGGCCCCTTTCTAAAATAAGGACAAAGAAGCATCCGTTATGACCGGGACCGAGGCCGCCAGAGATACCCGAAACTGCGCGTATAGCGCCTTATGCCAGTGCCGTCGCGCGGCGCCAGGAAGAGAGGTTTTGCGCTCGCCCCCTCCCCCTCCTCCCCCCCTTCATCGGCTCCGCACACGTGCACTTTCCGAAGTAATTTTTCGTCTACTTTCATTTTGGTCCTTTGAGTTTTTTCTCTAAAACCAACATTTAGCGAGTTATTCAGAGAAATTCCGTTTTTTTCACGTTTTCCAACAAAGTACCCTTTTTTGACCCCCCTCTTATCTCCGCCCCCGTTGGTCCTAGAGCAAAAGTGTATATATCACTTTTCCTGAAAATTTTGCGTACTTTAATTTTGAACTAAGGTACTTTGGGCCAAAAATCTAAATTTAGCGAGATTTTTCCAAAATTCTGAATTTTGGGCCGAAATTTTGGGGTT